GATGATATGTTTCCTGTAGGAAATGCCGCGTACACGATGATTAATCGAAAATCAAAGCGCGTGGATTCTTAATCGCTTCAAGGTAAATGAAATGAATATTACTTGAACGCGGAAACAATGGCATTCTTATCGGAAGCTCTTATCAAATTATGCTATTCACCTAATATCCAATTGCATGGCTTTATTACAGCACAGTACGATTTAATCGCTTCGGAAGATATACAGAGTGTTCGATGTAGATGGAGTATTATCGTGTTTTCTTTGCGGAAAAAAAGTCTCTTTTTCCTTTGTCGAAGTTTTCAAGCAATATATTGCTTTCAGAAATGTATTGTCGAGATATTTCACATTTTTCCTTCTTGTACTTCTCAAAGATCGAAATATTCTTTATAGAATACTCCATGGTAGTTGAACACGAAATATGCAAGAAATAAGAAGGAATAAAGAAACTGCAACTATTTTTATTTACATGAGAGCCAGAAACCGTACTTCCCTAAGGAATTCACTTTATACAGACTCGGTTGAAATTCTTCATTATAAAAGTCTTCATTAAAAGTGATAAAAGTGTTTCATTTTATAAATATGTAAATACCAGACTTAATTACTAAAATTTTTGCACTCAGAATAATTTACGCAAACAGCAAGTGCACTGTATTGGAAAATGAAATTTAAAAAAATGAGATATCTCGAAAAGACAGTATCCTATCTTTACACGAGATATCCTGTATGCTCATATCGCTTGTGACTTCGTTAATAACGCGCGCGCTTCCACAGAGCGTTGTAAGGTGAATGAGGCAATTCTCATCCACTTCCTCTCGGATTTCTTGTTCCTCAACAATTCACCGACAAGAGAGATCGCGGCGCGTCGCTTCGCGCCGCGAAGCGTGACGAATCGCGCGCGTAAAAGCGATACTAAATCTACTCTCGTCCGGAATCGAAATATCGCGGCGGAAAAATATGTAATCCCTTTGAAATAAATCTAAAAGACGAGTATATATGCATCTCGACTAGATACGTCGACATTCGTTCGCATATACCTCCTATATACATAGCGCAAAGTACAGAATAAAATCGGATACGCGGTTGAGCGAAAATAGAGAAGCCATTCCCGGTTTTAAATCGATTTATTCAAGTCGTCGAACTTTTCCTCCTATATAAAATAATCCGTTCCAGTTCGAAGTTACGTCATGAGTATATAAAAAAAGGAAGGAGGACGATGACGCTTACCGATATGACGTGTTCCCCTTTGCCAGCTTTGGCGATGATGTCCCAGTCGATGGTATCGACGTAGCAGAGCGTCGGATTCTTCTCGAATCGCACGGATCCGCGTTGGATGTTGGTCAGCGAATGAAGATCGATCTCCTGAAGGTTATTCATCTCGAATGCCACGAGGGCATAGTTAATGAAGAGAGAATGGCCGCGAATGACCGCAAGGTTGGGGAACAGGCGGCCGACGCTTCTCAATCCGCTTACTCTGAAAACACGAGAGTGTGCAAGAGAATAAGGGATGAAATCAAGTTAAGCGGATGAAAGAACCGCTCACGAACCGCTTTCAACTCGGGCGTGGCCAGACAATCCTTGCTAAATACTTGTACTTGTATAAAAAAAGCTGCATAAAATAAGGTACCTGTATAAAATAAGGTATCCTGTGATCTCGACCAGATCGGGGAAGGTGAGATTGGTATAGGACGACGAATCCGCTCGGTCGATCAAGAGAATTTGTACGAAGCCCTCGACCACCGGCAGCCTTCCAATTTCGAGAATTGATTCACGTTATTTCTTATGTCTATACTTTGGCACACTGCAACAGAGAAGGAGTGAAATCATACCGTGACCGGAGTTAATAACGCAACGCAGATACATGCACTTACGTATATTACAAATGTACGTATAAACCCAAGTAAATGTAAACGCACCGCGTGCATTCCATCTCTTATTTTTCGATCAAATTCAATCGCTTATATATTCTGTGTACATATAGTCGCTCTCATTTTTTATTTACATATTTATTTGCGAAATGGTGTATTTGCGTCAGACATGAACTTTCAAAGAATTTCTCTCAATATTTAATATACGACCAACATCATCTCTTTTAATTTGAAATTTAATTCCCTTTTTGCTAGCTAAACATTTTTTTCAATACAAATAACCCGAGTCTATATATGCACACATTTCTTCGTCGATGATTATATTTATTTATAATTTATTATACGGAGAGAATTTTCAGTGAAAATCGTGGCAATCGATAAGAAATATTAATATGTAAAATGAATCGAACATATTTTATATCTGATTGCGGTAGATATTAATATTGTTTATCGTGGTAAATATTAATTATAGAGAAACTCTTATAAAAAAATCTCCAATATTCCATATTGTTTCACGATAATACCATGATTTTCAAGATAAATTCTAAGAGACAATTCTCTTCGCACGTATTTATACATTTACAAAATGTTTGTTTTCCACGCCGAAGGCGACGATATAAAATTCTCCTCCACGATTCTCCAGACACCTACCATTTCGTAAAACTTTTAACAGCTCCTTCACTTTAAAGCGCAGATTTGTTTTCGGAGCAGAAAAATTCCAGACGGTCATGATTATATCTCTGGGAGACTTGATTGATCATCCCGCGTCGATTTATCAGTGCGGCGTTTAAAGATCGAGATTGAGAAATTGATGATGCGCGGATTCTCCCGGGAGGCGGATCCGAGCCGCGCGTTTGGCACGCGATCGCCGTCAACGCGCGGTGCGTCAAACCGCGCGGTCCCTCGTCTTCGTTAATCGTCGCATTGTCGTCGAAAGAACCGAAGATTGTCGAGACGACGCGCTCAATTTCAACGTTTCAACAGAGACGCTAAAAATACCCGCCAGCTGCACTGCCGCTCTGTTGAAACAAATGGGAGAAGGACCATTATTCGCGCGAGCGAGCGTACCGCCGTGGTGGGACTGCTTTATTAAGACTGGGATTGCTTTATTAAGATCCAGGATTGCTTCTTATCATTGAGGGATAAGCCGCGCTTAAGTTTTCGCAACTCTCTTCGAAATAATCTTGGCGATAAGGGACCTCTCTCTTTCTCTCTTTCATTTTCGCTAACAATCACGTGCCTGCCTCGCGATCGATTTGCTTTTTTTCCTTTAATGTAGCACGTTCGCGTCATCAGTTTATTCGCAAGAGTATGTTACATACCCGTGTGCTAAGAATAGCGTCGTGTGCAAATGCTTGCGATGAAACTAGGAGCGGCGATGAGCAAAATTGAATCACAAATCACTTTATAGTATACCGAGAATATACATAAATTGTGCGAATGTTATAATGAGATTCTCTCTCGCAGTCTGTCAATGTTGCAGAAAACTTGTAAGACCATCGCTGATCTGTCGTAACGTGCATTCTTTGGCAACATGTGTTGGCAAGATCAACAATTATGTTCAAACGCGTTCAAATGCAAAACGTCGACAGGTGTTGTCGCGACATTATTATCGCCAATAAACATTTGTCACATTCGTCAGTGTATGTTTTAAACAAGTGTCATGTCACGCTTGACAAAGTATCGTCAAGTCTTGTTTAATATCGTTCTATTATGTTCAATTTTTCGCTGTCAAGTCTTGGATATTTTCCTAATAAACGTAACGTTATCAATATTTTGCAAAATCATATGTTGATGTCCTGAATCTCATGTAAAATATTGCATTACGCGACATAATAACCTGTTTGTTAGATATTCTTTTATATCAAGTTCTATATATCAAAATTATTATTCTCTTTATCGCATCTCATAGTCTAACAAACATTTGATTACGGTTATTGTATAATAATGTATAATCAGAGAATAATATTCATTCATTATGGCATAAGTACATACTATAAAAAATATATATATACGTACATATGTATAAAGAAAAAAACGAGAAGAGGATATACAATATGCAAATAAGTTTACTCGTATACATACACATATATATATATATATATCTTGAATAATCATCATTATGGTTATAGACGTATCTCTTTTTTTTCATTTTATACAAATTATATTCCAGGTTTTTTTTGTATTGATTTTATTTAAATTTTAAATTGCAGAATAATTAAAACGTCATGCACTTTTGCTTTTTCAATAATAATTTTAGCCATTTCATAAATATTGTAAGCTATATGTATATTATAAGCAATTTTTTACTCTAGCCTCGCACTACGTAAACATCATAAAAATCGGCAAGAAACGCGATAATAATCCTATTTGCATATTTTTTCAAGTCACAATTGAACGAAGAAATTTTAAGATTTAATTATACTATATTATAAATTTCTCTCCTGCAGCGGAAAAGTACTCTGAATCGATTTAAACTAGGTCTCGAAAACCGATTTAAAAACAAATGTAATTAAAATTCCGGTGAATTTAATAATATTTCTTTTATTTTTCAAAATGTTTCTCCTAGAATTTAAAGATTGTTGTGTATCTATATGTATGAAACAATGAACGCGTCAATTTGAATAAGATTTGACATTTCTTTCCTTTCTGCGTCGATCGTTGCAGTTTCAGCGATTAATCGGTTAATTGAAACCATATATTGATCGATGAATCGTGAGCTCTAATTTAAACAGTCGATCGAACGGATCTATATATATATATATACCTATATATCTGTCTAGTAACTTCCGATGCATTTCGGAGTCGAGAAGCGCGACCGGTCGAATCATGATTAATTAAGGCGAATTGCGATAATTATTCGGTCGCAGAGCGAAGGTGTAGCGTCCCGTTGCGCCGCGTCGGGACTAATCAGCAACGCGGTCGAGTCGACGTCGGCCAAGCGAGACGGAGCGGAGCGAGGCGAGCGAGACGACGCACTCGACGCGACGCGAGATGCGATGCGAACGCTTCATTCATAAACGAATGCGCGCGAGCGTTGCGGTGTACGCGTACGCCCGAGCGTACTATCTACGTCGTAGACTGCGTATATAAACAACGACGCGTAGACGCGTCTCGTCGCTGGTCGCAGGAGCATCGTGGCGAAACGACTACGCTGAATCGCCGCGAATATCCTCTCGAGCCAACCTTGCATCCTTCCGAGCTCATCGAGTCGTACCAGACGAAAGACAATTATTTCATTCGCGAGTCTTTTTAAAATTACGCCAAGAGCATGACGAAGAAAACAATTATATGCGGCTTTGCACAAGGAGGTTCCTACCACGTGCGTTATCTTCCTTCCTTGCCCGTAATTAGACCTCGCGTGCATATGTAAAGTCACCTTAGTGAAAGGAAAAAAAAAAGCAACAAACGTATATAGCTCGCTATCGCGGTCGGCTATCAATTACGAATAATTTTGCCGTAATGGTTACTTCGAGTTGCGGCGAATGCACAAGCTGTTTTACAAGGCAGAGGCGGTTAAATGCGACACAAGTGCGCAAATAAGGACGACGTTGACGACGATATATACATACATCGACGATGTTAATTGCGTGCTCGTTCGCGGTCCGAGAAGGTATTTCGCGACCCGTAGATTCCTTTGTTCCTTGTGTTTCGTTTCGCGAGAACGTTGAACCGTACGATTAATTATGTAAGCGAAACGATACACGGCTCTTCAATATTACCGAGAAATTTGAGCGTCGTAGCAGCCAAAGGCGCTAATCGACGACGATTAATAATACGCCCGAATATACATTTTTTCCCGTCCGACATTCGGATGCCGCGCTTTCGCGAACCGAGTGCGCGAATCAGCGAAAACCGTATATCGATCATATTTCGCTGAAACTCCGGGAAGGAGTTGCGGAATCGTATATACGCGCGAAGAGGCGCGTCTCTCGACTCGACGAAATCGCAAGGTGGCACACATATACACACATATATATATATATATGTGTGTGTGTGTGTGTGTGTGTGTGCGCGCGCGATACAAAGGGTACCTTCGCAGTCGAGGGATCTTCTCAACGTCGCTCCTGGGTGTAGCCTACTTAAAAAGTTGCAGCGAACGGTGCATTCCGAATACTCTTCTCAAGGTTGCTAGCCATTCACCTAAAGACCGAAGAGCGCTTCCACACCCTTTACGCACCGACCGGACTGTCGGATTTTGTGCGTGAGTGTATGTGTCCTCTCTCTCTCTCTCTCTCTCTATGCGTGCGCGCGCGAACGAGATGCTACCTCATGGCATTCCTCAGCTCGTTCTCAACTCGATGGTACTCGACGATATAGTCGCGGCGCGCCGGCAATTCTCGGCTCCGATTGATTGCTACTTTGTATTCCCGATAAAAGCCGGCCGACTCAGACATGTAACGAGATGCTCTCGAGTCTCGCGCAATAGTCTCTCTCCCTCTGCCACTTTGCGTGGGACGAGTAAATACTCGAGCGAGACAGGGTATCTCGAGACCCGGAGAGAGAAGACCGTATTGTCTTCGCTCTGCTCGTTTCCGCGGCTAAGTAAATTGTACAGCTAAATTGAATTTGCAAGCACGGTAATTGCGGCGAAGGTATAGAGGGTATATAAGGGTTGATGCAACGTAAGGTGTCCGAGCGAAAACGGGGTGGTTTCCCCCTTCGATCATCCTCGCGGTCATTCCTATGTATGTACATGGTACGTCGAACTGGAAAATTACGCGTAAATTAGACAATGTAAACGACGAGTGGTCTGAGGCGACGAGCCGTGGAGATTATAAACGTCAAAGCGGAATCGTATGGCATGTGGCAGTGCTACATTGTGTTCTCGGCAAAACCGGCTGCGAGCCAAGCGAGTCGGTACGGATACCAGTTGTAAAAAAAAAAAAAAAGTAGGGAATGTCTGCGCCCCACACACACAGACGTATACAAAAAGAGATGACCGGTACGATATATAAAATTGGACGCAAGAAAAATCGATCGACGAAACGAAATCAAACTGCTTGATATGAAACTGGTTCGAATCGTCCCCTCGTATAAAGAGGACTAATAGAGAAACGTA